TTTATTAAGTTTGTAATGAGATTGTAGCAATTTAGTCATAGTTTTAGACTCCCCTTATAACTCTAGTTTCTGCTATTTTGACCACATCTGCAATTATTTCATTCACTGAAATCTTGAACTCCTCAAAGTCATCCATTACTGTTGGAATTAACTTCTTCCAGTGGCTACAGAGTGAGTGTTGTATTAACAGGCATGACATGAAAACAACATTAGTTTCCTCATGTCTCTCCGTCAGAACTCTTGAGTGATCAGGTGTATTATCAGTGAGCAGAAATACCTTAAAAGAAATCTTTTTCTCTGAGTAGTAGGTCTTAACAGTGGGATTAAAACGTACAGTACATGGGGCCAGTCTAATTATGTTACTGGGCTTCCCCATGGCTGACCACAGTTAGAGTTCCATACCTGGTGACTTGAAACTCATGCTGGGCACATGTGCTTGCATACCCAAGATCCCAGGAGGACAGTGGAGGAGAAGGGATTGCGGCATGGCCATCTCCCCTGAAGGGTGATTTTTCACTTTCGCTCTCACTGTCTCTGTCTCTCTTTCTCTCCAGCAAGTGTAGGCACCCAAAGACAAAAAACTTCTAAAAAAAAAGAAAATCAGTAAATCACGCTGTGAGCAGATGTGCTGTTATCCAGGCTTTGCTGTTCCATTTCTAGAGCAAAGGCCTCATTGTCAAGGCTCTAAAATTTTCAGAATTATAATAAGTTAGCATTGGCCTCAATGTAAAGTTCCCAGTTGCATTAACTTCTATCAAGATAGTTTTTACTTTGAAGGCAGGCCTTGACTTCTCCTTTCTAACTGTGATAGTCCTAGATGGCATCTTCTCCCACTTTAGAGCTGTTTCATCTACATTTAAAATCTGGGGTTTTTTTTAGTATAAAACCTTCATCAGTTGCCTTAGCTAGATTTTTTGAATAACTTGCTTTAACTTCGACATCATCACTTACTGCTTCCCCTTGCACTTTTTTAAAAAGAAGTATTTTATTTATGATTATGATGATTATTTTACTTGACCATAGAGAGACAGATAAAGAGAGAGGGAAAGCAAGAAAGCAAGCTGCCAGGTCCGGTACTCAAACCTCTCGGCCATGTAGAAGTCTAATGCCTTAACCACCATGCCATCTGCCAGCCAGCCCTCCCCTTACACTTTTATGTTATGGAGATGACTTCTTTTTCTAAATCTTGAAACCGACCTCTGCCAGCTTTCACTTTTCTTTTGCAACTTCCTCACCTGCTTTCGTAGATTGAAGAGAGTTAGGGCCTTGCTCTGGATCAGATTTTGGCTTAATAGACTGTTGTAGCTGGTTCGATCGTTTGTCCCCATCACTAAACCTTTCTTCGTTTAAGCAATAAGGGCTATTTCACTTTCTTATCATTTGTGTGTTAACTAGAACAGTGCTTTGAATTTCCTTCAAGAACTTTTTGTTTGCCTCTGTAACTTGGCTGTTGGGCACCAGAAGCCTACCTTTGGCTGATCTTGACTTTCAAAATGCCTTGTGCATTAAGTTTAATCATTTTTTAGCTTTTGCTCTAAAGCAAAAGACATGTTACTCTTCCTTTTATGTGAACACTTAGAGGTCATTGTAAGGCTATTAACAGGCTTTAACTTCAAAATTGTTGTCTCGGGCCTGAGGAAAGGGAA